TCAAAGGGGGTGGCGGAGGGAAGACGACAGTCACAGGCACAGTCGAAAAGGAAGGTCTTGAGACAGGCCTTGAAGGAGGCACGGGAGGGGTGGGCGAGGCAGAGGGGCTTCGGGATGGAGTTTCAGAGGGTGGGGGCAGAAAGGATGACGGACCGACCACCGATGGTGGGGCGGGCACTGCGGGAAACATGGAGCAGGCCGGAGGGGACTGTGGAAGCGGTCGAAGTCACATCAAGTTCCTTGCGTTCGATATATAACGTCGTCGAGACGTCTCCGAGCGTTTCACAGGCTATACCGTAAAGTGGAGTGACTGTGTTTTGTGGGCGAAACGCGGCGGCCAGTTTGCGCACGGGTCAATGCCCCACGCACAGTGACCGGATTTTAAACGAGTAACAAAATGGGAATGTCACCTTCGAGCGCCTTTCAGCGCCTCGGGACGTCCTCCCGACGCGAAAGGCGCTCTCTAAATGGAATCTTGTTGTTGTTGTTGACAGTGCAACCCCTCCCCACCCGCCCCCAGCACTGCATTGGAGCATCGGCTCAGACGATGTGCAACCACTAAGCTACAGGACGCCACATTTCCCCATGCGCTGGGGGAACGGTGCATTGTCGGAGGTGCCATCTTTCGGGGAGACGTTAAACGGAGGCCCCACTTGTGGCCGTTCGGGTGGATGGTGAGGACCTCGCGATCCTTGTCTCTCCTCTTCGGAAAGGTGTCCTGGCCAACGATCCCCCGAATAAACCTGGCCGCACACGCCGTGGCTGCTCGTCGGACATCCCTGCGCTGAAAATCGGCTGCTGTGTTCGGCTTGCAAGTGCACAGTCACTACCCTTTGCAGTAAAAGCCCTGTGAAGCGCTTTGAGGTGCTCCATGAAAGCTTCTATTATCAAATGCTCCTAATGTCAAGTCCCTCCCCGATCCCGACCCCCATCTTGGGTCGGAAACACTGATAATCCAGTGGCTTGGGGTGTCCTCCTGACACGAAAGACGCTATACACACACACTCACACACACACACACACACACGTAATATTGTTGTTGTTGTTGTCGTTGTTGGTATCTTTTGAATAACGAGGCGCCATAAAATTGCAGTTCCCTTCTCATCATTGCACTTCGCCCACAAAATACACAGTCAGATTCACTTTACGGTGTATCCCGCGAAGCGCTTTGAGACGTCGCGCAGACGCGATCGCAAGAATTATTATTATTATTATTATTATTATTATTATTGCCGACTTTGAACTTCACCTTGGGACTGTGCTTGGCGGTTTGCTGGCCCGCGACTTTGTTCACCCGCGCGCGGATGATTGCAGCGGTGGTTAACCGGTGACGTTAGCTGCTCGCACAACTGTGTCGTCGTGAAAGGCTCAGTCAGTGACGCTCGCCTTCAGAGGGAAAAGGGTTTTCCCATTTTGCTACGGCATTAAAATCTGGTCACCGTTCGTGGGACGCTGCTGTGCGCAATTGGCTGCTGCGCTTTGCCCACGGGATACGCGGTCGATCCACTCCGCAGCGCGTTTTGTGGCGTCTCAAAGCACTGTGTCAAACGCAGGGAATATTTTGGCCACTCTATCCACAATTGTTTGTGGAGACCTCACTGTGCGCAATCGGCTTCCGCGTTTCGCCCACAAAATACACACTTTACATTGTATTCTGCGAAGCGCTTTGAGACGTCTCAACATCTTGATAAGGCCTATATCAAATGCAAAGATTACTATTATTATATATATGTACGCGATCACTTGCAGGTGCTGTGCTTGTGACTGGTGTGCAAATGCTCCTTGTGTGAGCGGTACTTGTAACTGGTGTGCAAAGGCCCCCGCGTGTGTTGCTTGTGACTGGTGTGCAAATGCTCCTTGTGTGTGTGGTGCTTGTGACTAGTGTACAAAGGCTCCATTGTGTGAGCGGTGCTTGTGACTGGTGTGCAAAGGCTTCTTGTGTGAGCGGTGCTTATGACTGGTGTGCAAAGACTCTTGTGTGTGGTGTGACTGGTGTGCAAAGGCTCCTTGTATGAGCGGTGCTTGTGACTGGTGTGCAAAGGCTCCCTTGTATGACGGTGCTTGTGACTGGTGTGCAAAGGCTCCCTTGTGTGTGGTGCTTTTAACTGGTGTGCAAAGGCTCCCTTGTATGTGTGCTTGTAACTGGTGTGCAAAGGCTTCTTGTGTGAGCGGTGCTCGTGAGCAGTGTGCAAAGGCTCCCCTGTGTGTGGTGCTTGTGACTAGTGTGCAAAGGCTCCTTGTGTGAGCGGTGCTTGTGACTGGTGTGCAAAGGCTCCTTGTGTGAGCGGTGCTCATGACCGGTGTGCAAAGGCTGATTCTGTGAGCGGTGCTCGTGACTGGTGTGCAAAGGCCGATTGTGTGAGCGGTGCTCGTGACCGGTGTGCAAAGGCTGATTGTGTGAGCGGTGCTCGTGACCGGTGTGCAAAGGCTGATTGTGTGAGCGGTGCTCGTGACCGGTGTGCAAAGGCTCCCTTGTGTGAGCGGTGCTCGTGACCGGTGTGCAAAGGCTGATTGTGTGAGCGGTGCTCGTGACCGGTGTGCAAAGGCTGGCCCGGTGGTGTGTTGCACGGTTGCACGCCGCCGCCCCGTGCAAAAGCCCTGTCAATCATCCCGATTGGCGACGTCACCCGCGCGGCCCCGCGCGCGTGCCCGGAGGGGGGGGAAGGGGGAGGACCTGGGCTGGTTGCCTAGCAGCCGGAGCTGTCAATCACCGCCGCGGCCGTCTCCCAGCAACGCCCGTCAATCACTCTCCCCCGCGCGGCCGAGGTGGGGGTGGAGGGCGGGGCCGGGGTGGGGGGCGGGGCCGGAGGGGAGGGAGGAGGGAGGGAGAGGAAGCACAGCGGCGATTGTCAATCAACGTCGGCTCCACCAATGGCAGAAGGGAAGCGGGGCGGGAAGTGGGGGTGGGGGTGGGGCGGTCTCCTAGCAACGGCGCTGCCGCGGCTCCCGGCCAATGGCGACGGGTTTGCGGTGGAGGAGGGGGCGGGGGTTAGGTGGGGGGGGGGGGGCATGACGTACGGCGTGAGCGTTGGGAGTGGGGGGGGGGGGGTAGGGGGGGAGAGAGAGAGAGAAAAAACCCGGGAAAGGCGCGCTCGAGCCGCGGCGGCCGTTGCACTTCAAACTGCGCGCTGCGTCGTTGTCGTCCGCTCGCGCGTCTGGTCCTGAGGAGACGCGGCGCCGCCGCCGTCAAGTCGTCGTCGTCGTCGTGGTCCTGGTTCGTCGCCGCCATCACCATCACCGACACCACCACCGACCGACAGCGCGTCGACGCCGTCCTCCCGCTGTCGCCTCCCTCTTGACACCGACCGACCGACCGTTCGCGGCGCTTTCTCCCCACCGTTTGGATTTCAAAGCCGCACCAAAGAGAGAGACAGAGACTGAGAGAGAAAAAGAAAGAGAGAGAGAGAGAGAGAGAGAAGGATTTTTTTAAAAAAAAAGAAAAAGAAGAAGAGACACAACGGACAGAGAAGAGAGAGTGTGTGAGAGAGAGAGAAAGAAAAAGAAGGGGAAACAGTTTGACGTTTCCAGGATATATATATTTTTTTCACGGCTTTACTTTTTTTTAATAGCTTTTACCTCAGAGATTCGTTGCTCTCTCTCTCTCTCTGTGTCTGTCTGACTGTCTGTGACTGACTGAGGAGTTTCTCTCTCTCTCTCTCTCTCGTTTATACTCTTGGGTGTGAGTGAGTGTGTAAGGGGGGCTGGTGTGCGAGGGGTCTGTGTGTGAGTGTGTGTGAGGGGTCGGTGTGTGTGTGTGTAAGGGGTCGGTGTGTGTGTGAGTGTGTAAGGGGCTGGTGTGTGTGAGTGTGTAAGGGGCTGGTGTGTGTGAGTGTGTAAGGGGCTGGTGTGTGTGAGTGTGTAAGGGGCTGGTGTGTGTGAGTGTGTAAGGGGGCCGGAGTGAGTGTGTACAGGCTGGTGTGACTGTGTGTGTAAGGGGGGGGGCGGTGTGACTGTGTGTGTAAGGGGGGGCCGGTGTGAGTGTGTAAGGGTCGTGTGTGTGTGTGAGGGGCTGGTGTGAGTGTGTAAGGGGCTGGTGTGAGTGTGTGTGAGTGTGTAAGGGGCTGGTGTGAGTGTGTGTAAGCGGGGGGCCGGTGTGAGTGTGTAAGGTGGGGCGGTGTGAGTGTGTGTGTAAAGGGGGGGCGGTGTGAGTGTAAGGGGGGCGGTGAGTGAGTGTTAAGGGGGGCGGTGTGTGAGTGAGTGTTAAGGGGGGCGGTGTGAGTGTGTAAAGGGGGGGCGGTGTGTGAGTGTGTAAAGGGGGGGCGGTGTGTGTGAGTGTAAGGGGGGCGGTGTGTGAGTGTGTAAAGGGGGGGCGGTGTGAGTGTGTAAAGGGGGGGCGGTGTGAGTGTGTAAAGGGGGGGCGGTGTGAGTGTGTAAAAGGGGGGCGGTGTGTGAGTGTGTAAAGGGGGGGCGGTGTGTGTGAGTGTAAGGGGGGGCGGTGTGTGAGTGAGTGTTAAGGGGGGGCGGTGTGAGTGTGTGTAAAGGGGGGGCGGTGTGAGTGTGTAAAGGGGGGGCGGTGTGAGTGTGTAAAGGGGGGGCGGTGTGAGTGAGTGTGTAAGGGGGGCGGTGTGTGAGTGAGTGTGTAGGGGGCGGTGTGAGTGAGTGTGTAAGGGGGGGCGGTGTGTGTGAGTGAGTGTGTAAGGGGGGGCGGTGTGTGAGTGAGTGTGTAGGGGGGGCGGTGAGTGTGTAGGGGGGGCGGTGAGTGTGTGAGTGTGTAAGGGGGGTGGGTGTGAGTGAGTGAGTGTGTAGGGGGGGTGGGTGTGAGTGAGTGTGTGTGACTGTGTAAGGGGGGGCGGTGTGAGTGAGTGAGTGTGTAAGGGGGGGTGGGTGTGAGTGAGTGTGTAGGGGGGGCGGTGTGAGTGTGTGAGTGTGTAGGGGGGTGGGTGTGAGTGAGTGTGTGTGACTGTGTAAGGGGGGGCGGTGTGAGTGAGTGAGTGTGTAAGGTGGGTGTGAGTGAGTGTGTAGGGGGGCGGTGTGAGTGTGTGAGTGTGTAGGGGGGGTGGGTGTGAGTGAGTGTGTGTGACTGTGTAAGGGGGGCGGTGTGAGTGTGTGATGGAGGACCAGTCCCGGTTGCTGCAGCCTCACCCCGGGGTGGGGATGGCCGTGCACTCGCTGCCTCCTCACTCCCAGTCGGACGGAGGCGACCCCGAGGGACGCAAACAGGACATCGGGGACATCCTTCAGCAGATCATGACCATCACTGACCAGAGCCTGGACGAGGCTCAGGCCAGGTCAGTACCACTGCCCCCCCCCCCCCCCCCCCGCTCAGCTCATCACAACAACATTCATATAATAAACATTAACATAACAAACATCAGTGGAATAACAAACGGGACCACATCGCCTCTCCCCCTCCTCCTCCTCCCCGTCCCCGTCCCTCCCCAACAAAGATTTACACCTTAACACACGCAGAAAATATAATGATAACTCACCAAATAAATACATACGATAAATAAATACATGTCGGGGTTTTTTTTTATTTTGGGAGATGTGGGGTGGGGGGGGAGGCTTTAACTCCCCCCCCCCACTCCCCCCATCGACTTTACAACTTGCCACAGTATAGCTAATAAATAATACATAAGTGTCGGGGTGCTTTTCTGTTTTGTTTGGGAAGGCTTTCCACTTTTCATCGACTTTTTAATCAGATTTTTTACATTTTTTAAAAAAAAACTTTCCTCTCTCTCCTCTCCTTCCTCCCTTCCTCCTTTCCTTCACACATGCTTTTATTTTCTTTCTCCTGCTTGTTCGGGATTGTATGAGTTGAACCCCAACCCCCCCCCCCCCCCCCCCCCCCCACACACACAAAAAAAGTCTCTTTGAGAAGGAAATAGAGAGAGAAGAGAAAGACAATTTGCATTGAATTGTGGCAGATTTGTGCACTTTCTGTCTCGGGAGAGAGAGAAAGGGAGAGAGAGAGAGAGAAGGAAACACACTCAATGCATAAAATTACTAAACCGACTTCCCGGGGAAATGAGTTTACTGTGTAAATGTTCCTAACTAAACCTGTTTGGTTGTTTTTTCACTCGCAAATAAATAAATACATTGCAGGCTGTCTCTCCAGCATTTTACATCACTGGATGCCGTTCAAAGCCAGTGGTTTGCAGGGAATAATTGACAGATTTTATTTTCTGCTCATGGGTGATTTTTTTTAACAGTAATAAGGGCAACGAATATAATAACTGCAGCCAAATCCATTCTAGTTTCTGAAGGGAATGGGCAGAAAGCGACTACAGAGGTCGTGCGAGTTGTGTTGAGAGCGAAACTAAAATCTTAACATCCAGTACTTCTTTTTTTTGGCTCTTCAGCCATAGTTTATAAGCCAAATGCTAATTACATTTCTATTTAGCTAATGTGCTTCTTGACCTTTGGATCAAATTTGCTAATGGATTTGTGTACAAGAGGACAACGGAAGGTATCCCCGGCAAGTTTTTTAAAAAAAATACCTTTTTTTTAATAAATCGAGTCGTAAGCTGACACAAAATAAACAGCTATCCCCCCCCCCCCCCAGCAATATCAGGCTAACAGTTAATGATCCTCCTGTGCAAATGCACAGCAAAAGTGAAAGCTCTTTTCCCCCAAATAACCGAGTTGCTCTTCACACCAAATTAGTTGTTTGGGTTAAATGTAGAGATTTTGTGATTTTGGGAGCTGCAATGTTTCTGTTTCCTTTGGCGAAGAGTAAATATTGCCTTTTTTACACAACATCCAGCAGTATTTTTCCTCGTATTCATTCCTATGGATGCTGTTTAAAGCACACTAGGCTTGGAAAGGAAGGAAATGTTTGGATTATGAAAAGTACAGCGTGCAACCAAGCAGCCACACACCTTTACATTTGTAAATAATTGATTTTGATTACAAACTATTAAAGTGACATTCTAATTTACTTCAAAATCTCTCAAACAACATTGGCCAACCTCTGAAAATGTATTGTTATATGCCTCTCGTTCAGTCTTTTAATCGGTGGGGCACAACATAATCTGCTTGTTTTGTTTTTCTACCAAATAAGAAATTAATATCCCTAGACTGCCAAATGTTTTGCTAAAATAAATGTGGATTACATAGAACAAAAGAAATAAACGACGCACTTTTATTGAAAGACCAGTATGTATTTTGAATCACACACTCGTAAGTAACCATTTGGAACCATTGAATCACACCCACAGTATACATTTAGAAAAATACAGTGGAAAGGATCAGTTTGCCATCGTTATACTTGCCTAAATGGGTAGTTGATTAAAAATCATGGTACATAAGATTCTTTGTATTATCTTATAGTATGCTTTGTTTTATTGCAATTGCGAATTGATGAGAAAAGAGAATTGCACACAAAGATGAAATAAGTAATCTAAGTAGTACCATGATGATAATATAAAGATTGTCCCCAAAAGTGCTTTAAAATTGAAGGTTGCCCAAATGTCAAAACTGCTAATACCCATATTTATAATATTTTAGTTTCTGGAGGGTGGATATCAGAGTGTGCGAGAGAAAAAGATTCAAGTGATGGAATAGTCACTTGGGGTAATGCAGATAGTGTTTTGATAGTACTAATAGGTGATTGTAGTCGTGAGCGGAGTGTCAGTACTTATCGTTGATTGTGTGTAATATATAGAATTACAATGAATCGTACAACGCGTTTTAAATGAATATGATGATACAAAAATCCATAAATATCGTGCTTCGAACTGTAATCCTTTGGCTATATACTTTATAGGGCAATTAATTGATTACAAATTTTAATCAACAGATAATTAATCTCTTCATCAACTTGTCATCAAGCCAGTCAGTGTTGGCATTGTGACTAGTATGGATATGAGATTAGGGAGGGGGGAATTGAAATTAGGCCAGGATGCAGCTTGCTTCGAAGCCCAATAAAATTACTAGAGCCTTGAGGCTTTAGAACTTACTTGCACTCCAGTTCTGAGTGTTGCATGGAAAACCGGTGACACTGTTAAATAACTAAATAAATGTTGAAGTATATTTTCTGTCTTTTAGTCTATTTGCAGGCAAGTTAAATTTTGAATCAGTTTACTTTTAATTAAAGCTGGGTTTTACTTAGCATAGTTAACGTAATACTGTGCAACACACATTTAATTAGCTTTTTGTTATTTGGATAATTTTGAATAATTGATTGAAATGATCGACCGTTGCAAATAATTTTTCGCTTCCGAATTGTAAGTATCTGTTGGATTTAGTTAATTTTAAAATCATCTTGTTTCTTCACACAACAGATTTCGGGTAACATTTTGAAAGTAGCAATTTCTTATGAGTTATTAACAAGTATGGCATCTGCATCTTTCGGTATGGGCTTGGACTAAATTTGGAAGTACTTTATTAAGTTATCCATTATTAACACAAAATGTTTCACATTTTAAATTCATGCGGGAAGACCTTTTTTCCATTTTGAGTGAATTGTTTTGTTTCGGGTGCTAAACTTGTGCAGTATAAGATATTTAGAACAAAAGAGATCTACAGGAAGCAAATGTGGTATTGGCAAATTTAAATCTTTCAACTGGACTACATTATATATAGTTTAAATGGAGAATGGGATGCAGTAGCAATTGCCACAGGGTTTTTCAATTGCTGGCTACCATATATGAACGTAAAATGTACAATTGCTTTCCATGAGATCACAGTAGTTGTGTTACTGTTAAGGTACGCCTGGTATTGTTTGGATGATTGTGTGTGTGAGGGTGGGGGGTCATTAGATAAATGTTTTTTTTGATATATTTGGATTTTCTGAAAATACACTTTTTGTTGATCTGTACACTACTTGTCTTTTAATTTGCAAATTATTTTGCATTCTGCACATTGAGACATGTAAAGCTCAATGTTTAAAACAAATTTGACATTTAGCTTGTTGCTTGGTGTTTGTTGTACCTAAAACATATTTTACATATTTATTTTTCATAAGATTTTAAACCCCCCCCCCCAGCAATGAGTAAAATGATTGCTTGAACAGATAGATATGTGATTCCGCGATATCTGCAACCTTCTAATCTAACTAGCTGCATATTTAGGAACAAGACTTTAGCTGCCTGAATTCACTAAAGAAATCTTCACAATTTGCAATAAAATACCAAGAAATCAGTGCATCAATAACCAGTGAATTTGAGGATTATATTTGACACTAGCTTTTATTTGAAATGTTATTATCTTTCATTCTAAGTTTATTTATGAAAGTTTTGCATGGTACCGAATTGTCTGATATTTAATCTAATGTTATTTGCATAAATACATGGCAGACCATTTCTTTCTGCACGTTCACAGAGACTGCTGGAGTTTTCTGTGGTTAAATGAAATAGAGAATTGCTCCCTTTTTGGGAGGGGTAAATTGCAAGGTGTAAAAAAAATCAATTCCCACAAGTGGCAAAAACGCAAAGCACTAAATAATGAGTTTGTTACAAAACCTACAGGATGTAATGAGTATATACCAATACTGCGGGTTTGCAACAAACCAGTTGATGTGATTGACAGTACTATAAGTGTTTTATCCCCACCAAACCTACTTGAGATTGAAGTAAAATGTGTTCCTAGTGATAGATTTTTGAACTGGATTTGTCATTTCATCAATTCTTACTGGTATCAGTAAATGATTACTTTGATGGGCATTCTTTATATTTTGCCACGCACCATGTATATAGTTGTATTTTTACATCTCTCTAGATGTTGTGGTACCTGTGATTATTTGCGTTTTCTCGATAGTTTATGGTGGTGTAGTCTGATTCTGTGGATCTGCTTTTTCCAAAATGATGATCTGCTGGAGGCACAATTTGCTCTGAGCTTAAGGTATAGTGGTGGAAGAACTAAGAGCGGTAGTGTGTGCTTTTCTTTTTGAGTTATTTGTTTTCGTCAGACTGAAATTGGCAAGTAGATTTTTGTCCTTGGTCAACTTCAAGCATTTTAGAAAGAGTGTGATTGACTGAGGATTCTAGGCCTTGCTAAAGCTTATTTTAGTTTTTAATGTATGTTAATGTATTTTTGTTGCTGGACATAATATCCAGTGAACTAGCATGAATATAGTACAATAATTGCTAGTTTCACTTTTTTATCTGTAATAGAACTCTGTAGTATTTATATTATAAAATAAATGTCTGAGGTATTTGAAAATATATGTGGGATACAATTACTTTGAGTGGTTTAATTTTTTTCTCCACTGATAAGCAGTCATGTACTTTTCATTCTCTAATGTTTCATGACTAAAATGTCAGTAAATCTAATGTCATTATTTGATATACTATCTGCGGTGTGGTGTAGGACTGCCCTTAGGTGTATATTTCCTCATGAATGGTGGTTTAAGCATTTAATTAAATTTAATTGACAATAATGGCTTGGAAACAGTTGTGCTGAAATGTAATTCTCCTGACCTGGTTTTGTAACTTTTTTTTCCTTGTAGCTTGTGTAGTACACTTTTCAGTTTTAAATTTCAGCACCGAATATAAATGAGGAATACAGTACAAAAATGACATTTGTCTCGTGCTTTCACTTCTTTTAGATAATTTAAAGTGTCTATACAACTAATCGTTTCCTATTGTTTGACAACTACCTTGAGTTGTAAGAATGTTCTTAGGGAATAGCCATTTTGTTGAACTCTGTGTTTGTGAAATTAGGTATTGTCCACGGTATAGGATTATGGTTCCAGTAATATTTTACAATAAGCAGTTACACATTAACCTCACATATTTTAATCTAAACTCTGGTAAACTGGGAGCACATCATAGGATTAATTGAAGTGTGTTTGGGTCATAGGTTTGTCTATGATTTGAAAATTAGCCTCACGCTTCACTAAATACGTCAGGGTTAAGAGGTTTCCTTTGTTTTAGAGATCACGTTTATTTGTTTAAGGGTTAGTTTGTACTTTAGGGTTATGATTTAAGTAATCTTAGCAGTATGCATTGTATTGAGACAAAGTGTATCTAGTGGAATATTTATTTGTAAAGGGATATAACTGGGGGTAATGAACATTAATTTGATTTTTTTGAGCAAGTTAAATGGGGAATACTTTAAGACCATATTCCTTTCAGTCAATATAATTATCCCACCATAGATGTAATAGCTTGTACCAGACATACTTCACCAGAAAGATGCCGAGCTGCTTTCCTATACCAGAGTAGTATTTGAAATAATCTACGAGCTATTAAATGGATTCATTTACTCTAATAAAAACTGTTAGCATTCCATAATTTACCAAGAAGACAGAAATGTTGGAGGTGTAACTGAAGTTGAATGGCTTTGAGAGTGGAGCCACATGCTCGGCAGCCTCGGGAACCTTACTCCCAGAGTTGGTAATGGGGGCGAAAGGAGAGTACATATCACAAAATGAAGTGTAAAAGAGCGCCGAGTTTGAACGCCTCTCTGATCAGCTGAGAAGCTGTTACACGTTACCGTGCGAGTGGCGAGTGCGGTTTGTGTTCAGATTTGGGGAGTTTTTTGCACCTGACGAACGAGTCACGTTTTTTTAAAAAAAAATTCTACATTTCGATGTTTATGCGCCGATAACGGCTCGAGCGAAAACCCCAAGTTTCCGAGCTTCCTTTAGCCTTAAAAAAGAGAGAGCAATTTCGTTTCGTGTGGCGCGTTATTTCATGGACACACTGCGAGAGGGCGGCAGCTGGTGACTCCCTACAGAAGTGACTGGGCTGATCTCGCTCTTTAATGGTCTGTGTTTGAAAAATAATTTAGATATGACTAGTTCCCCCCCCCCTCCTCCCCCCCTATCCCCGATATTGTGCATCCTCAATATTTCGCGGCGTTTAACTGTGTGTTTTTTCACTGGACGCCAGTCTCTGATGTGCTATTGTCTGGGTGTTGTTTTGCAGGAAACACGCGTTAAACTGTCACAGGATGAAACCGGCTCTCTTCAGCGTGTTATGCGAAATCAAAGAAAAAACAGGTACTGCTTTAACCACTCGCTGTTCGTGGTGAGACAAGTGAGTGGGGGAGAGGGAGAGGGGGAGAGGGAGAGGCATTTCTCCCAAACCCAACCCGCCATTTTAGTGCAGCCAGAAGTGTGTGTGTGGGGGGTGGGTGGGGGTTGTGTGTGTGTGGGGGGGGGGGGAGCAGTGGCTGCCGGACTCTGCTTTAACCTGGGCTCGGTCTGTCTGGCTGTCTGTCCGGCCTGGCCTGGCCTGGCCCCAGCCCGGGCAGTCGGCGTGCTGGGCAGCTGGCGATATGGGATTTGCAAAATCGCTGAACTCGTTTCATTTATATATATATACATATATTTTTTTTAAAAATGCAAAGATACGATTTGGGGAGAAACTTGAGCATTGAGAGGCGAGCGTCCTGTTATCCCCCCCCCCCCCCCCCCCCCAGTTTGCAGCTGGATACCTGCTGAATTCAGCAGCGTTGGGGATTTATAATAAACTACTTCGCTGCTAAACTTTTTTTTCCCCCCCCTTAAAAAAAAATTCGTAAGAGCGAGCGAGGGAGCACAAGGGTTTTCGCTGCAGGTTCTTACTGCGCGTCGCGGCGAGAAAATGATGTGTGTGTGTGTGTTTTTTATAAAAAAAAGTGAGGCTCAAGTCCTGGTGTGTGAAAAGTGTCAACCGAGAAAGGGTTCTGTGGGCTGGAAATGGCAGAGCTGGAGATCTTTGTGCACGGACAATGGCTGCAAAAAATTTTAGGACAAAGGCATTGCCGTTTCCTTTTATTATCTGCAGATCAGCGATCACTTCACAAACTTGGGACCTTCGTCGGTCCTGAAGATATTTAATGAGCCTACCGACAAGTCTTTTTTTGTGTGTGTGTGTGTGTGGGGGTGGTGAAGAGAGTCAAAAAAGCGGTTCAATCGCTGTTTTCAGACACCGTTTAAACAGTTTCTAAGATAAACGTTTTCAAAAGCGAACGCTGAAAAAAAAACAATAGCTGGCACCTTGAGCAAGGGGAATATTTACTTGGTCAGTGAGTCTGATCTTTCATTTGTTGGATCAATGCAATAGCTGATTTTTTTTTTAAGTGTGCGGTTCATTTGGGGCCTTCAAAATCCATCATGGTCTACAGTAAAACTTATTTTCCAAGATGGCCCTTTTTTGTGTGTATTTTGGATGCCATTGATCTCACGGGCGTGAATTACAATCTACTATTTCAAGTTGGATAACGCGAAGAGAGACCTCGTGAATAAATTTTGCTGAGATTTGAGTATTGACTGATGCAGAAAATGCATATTTCTTTCGTTGCTTCTTGGTGTGAGTTTTCTAGGAGATTGTGTTAAATTGGCTGAACCTAGGTTTTTGCACCTTTTGCCAGAGTTTGTGTGGCTCCTGTACAAGCAATTAAGCCGACGTTTTCAAAGGCACAGTATGGGTGGGATATGCCTTAATTTCTAATGTTCTGAAGTTTAAATCCACATTGTGTGTTTAAATCCATTTCCCCAATGTCATGTTTGGGAATAAATGAGATCACGGTATTCGGTAAAAGGAAACTTGAACACTATCTTACAATTATAATGAAATGAATCTGGCAACCCCATTAAGTTGCATATTCTAGTTCAGACCAGTTGATGCTGCAGTTTTGTGAAAGTTGGAACATTCCAAAAAATGTTATGGTTAACTGGCAGCTGGAGTTGTGAGACTGCAGGAAGTCTTGCTCTGGTCTTTTGAGCACATTTGAGAAATTTTCTCGGATCCTAGATTTTCCTAGGATTATATCAGGAGTGTGAACCTGACAGAAAAATATTGCAGTGTTTCAATTCTGATATCTTAAGGGTTGTATTTTACTGAAAATATAAATCTATTTACAATCTAAGAATTCATTCTTCCATACATCGTGTATGTAATGGATAGCTGTGTAATATGACCCATTTATCCACAAATGGGGCCAACGTGATTGTGATTAGCTTGAGTGGAGATATCACACTGTTGGTCATGAGTATTTTATTTTGTAGCACTCTCCTTTCCTCATCCTTTCTCTTATCCCCCCCCCACACACAGACACACACACACAAAATCAGAATCTGTTTTTGGATCTGGCTGCTGAATATGTTTTCTCACATAAGAAATAAATATACAATAAGCTACAAAGCAGGGAGTCGTAATTGGTCTATCAGTTCTGGATTTTTTTTGTCGTGAACCAGAACAAAGAATAGAGCTTTAAATCCTTCTGTTCACTTTGCCGTGCATCTGGCTGCAATATAACTGCAAGCTTGAGGTGCAGGATTGCTCTCTCCAAAAATACATCGCGCAATTGAGTGCATAATGTTGCAAAATATATTTTGAGGGGGTCTGCAGGTATGGAATAAATATTCTAAACTTCTTCTTAATGCCTTGAACTAGCCAGATTTAAAGAAATAATTCTCAGATGAAACCAGGATTTTGGGGGATTCTGTCACAAAGCTAATATAACCAAAGTACAAGATAATAATAGCTTGCGTCTGAAGTAAAGCCTGTAGACATGGATCACATTGTTTCTTAGTTTTCTATTTAATAAGAATGAGTTCAGTTCTGTTATCAGTATTTAGATTTCTCCTCATTGCTCTATTTTGGCATTGCAGCTGACAAGTCACGTTGGCATTTGAAATGCCCTTCTTCAGCAATGTTACTGGATAGTGATTGGGAACTGGACCATGATTTTACTCTCCCTAACCTTGGGCACTAAGGGCTATTATAATGGCTTCTGGCACCAACCTAAATGAGACTCAGTATAGACTGGGTATCGAATTTGGGATCTCTGCCTTCAAAATGTCTTAGATACTTATGAATAAACTCACAGAGCCACCAGAGATCCAGTAAAATGAGATCATATTTATTAAGATGAGAAGTTATGTTTGTTTGTGGAGAGCAAATGTAAAGTTTTCTGATTTACTTAAACTACAACAACAACAAATTACATTTGTATAGCGCCTTTCAATGTCGGGACGACGTCCCAAAACTAAAGGTGATTCAGTTTTAAGAAGTAAACTAGCGTGCCCAATACTGAAATAAAGTACTGTCCCTTGAAATGACAGTCGGTTACTAAATAACCAGGAGCTATTTATGTTGGAGAAGTTCCCAAGTTTCTGCCTCTTGTTAACTGAACAAGCACTTAACACTTTCATGATCTGTTTTGTTCATGGAGTGCTCTTGTTATGTGTGTATGCTTTGGTGGTTATGAACTTTATTTGAGTAACCTTCAGTAATCTTCAAGGTGCAACCATCATTGAAGATGTCAAAAGCGCTATATCAAATGCAAAGATTATTATCATTATTATTTACTGGGTTACTATTATTACTTTTAAAAACAAATAGTTTTATGCTATCCTGTAAAAGGCCCTGAAGCCATTTGTTCCCCAAGAGGTAATATTCCTTTTGGATTACCTCTATAACTATATTTTACTTTTCTTTCCAGACATTTGAACAACTTAGCAATTTCTACAAAATTTGGCTGATGCCACAAAGTTTAAAGTCCTAAAATAATTGTTTGATGGTTTTGTAGTGTTTCCAGTTAGTCAAAAGTCAAATGTATCGTTCGCACACTGAGGAAGATCAACATCCATGTCGTGACTTGGAACACAAGTTCTGTACTGTGCAATGCTGAGAGTATGTTGTATTGTCGGAGGTGCCTTCTGCCCGTTCAGTTGGATGTTAAAGATCCCATGGCACTTATATATATAGTGTATATATATATATATTGCGTATATATATATATATACACCCACACAGGGGAGGGAGTTTGTCCTGGGGTCCTAACCAATCTCCCAAGTAAAATTTATCACTTACTCCATGGCTGTTTGTGGGTCTTTGCTATGTGCAAAACTGGCTGTTGCAATTCATCCACAAAAGACAGTCACATTTGCGTATGTGAAATATCATTGAGGCAGATTTTTTCACTGAAGAGTCGATCTCTTTAACACAGAGGCAATGGGAGATCCTGCCTAGAAACAGATTCTTTCAAATCTGGCACCTGGAAAACCAGCTGTGTTTCATTGTGATTTGCCTCCAGAGCCAGGATGACCTCTAGAGTCAAGTTTTTAATGTAAAAGCAGCGCAAGTGGCCTGTGTGCAGTAATGAAGCCTATCGGTGAGATTGTGATAGTCAGTAGATCAGAGCAATATGGCTGATGATTGATGTATTTAGAGGTGGTACTGCAAATGTCCCATTACCTCTAGACTCATTTCTCATTCTCTTAAGAAGTTGAGAAGTAGGCTCACTTAATGACTTTGGATAATTGCAGTATCTGATTTGTTAGCAGTCCATGGAAACCTGAAATGTTCTAGGCTTAGTCCCTAGTCTCTGCTAAATTATCTGGAACAGTGATGGGGTGCTAAACTTGGTGTCAGTGCCTTTAAGATGGGGAGAGAAAATCAGATGGAATTCCTGATGTCGCCCATCAGATAGTGCTTGTGTTTGAATTTTGGATGAGAAAGGACCAGGCTGTTGTTCAATTGTCAACTAGCTGCTGTTTGTCAATGAGCACTTGCAACTAGTCAGCAAGCTTTTGTGTGAAGAAAGGCCACTTGGATGAAGTATCAAAGGGACTTTTGTGTTCTTGTAACTGTATTGCACCGTAAATTTCTGTCTTTAGAGGACGAAGGGAGAAAATTGGGAACGGGGCAAAGAGGGAGATAAAGTCGTAAAAGGGCCATATGACTTATTAAGATCTGTCAAAGCCAGAAATTGTTAATCGTGGAATATAGGATTTTCTTCTTTTGGCATCTGGACTCTAGCATAAAGCATTTCAGAGACTTGGAATATATTTTGCAATAGCAATTTTTTTTACCCTGCACAGTTTCAGTATTTTTGTTATAAATTATATATATCCCCTCCACATACATTGGTCCAAATTTGCACAATTATTGGAAAGGAACCAGGTAATTAATGTTAAGAGTTTTTGTTCAGCAACATATTGGCATTCTGAGACTGGCTGGTATTTGAAAAGAAAAATGTACAGTAATACAAACGAAATGCAGTTTTGAA